ATGGGCAGCCCCCAGAGGTGCAAGATAAGCCACTCATTTGCAAAGCCTTCTCCAATTGAGGCAACCCCTTTGTGACTTGTGTTCTCTTGTAAGCCCTGGCAAAGTCTGGAGCCTGGCGCCCAGATTTCCCACACTGATTTTCCTGGGGATTATGCTGTTTCTAATGATCAATTAAAGCAAATTGGCCAGGTCCCCCAGGCCCCTAAATCCCAGTTAATCCCTGGCACCTTCTGTAACTCCAAGTGCTCATTCATTAAGTGGCAGTCCCATGGGGAAGTGTTTGCTCCAAGCGTGGCTCTTCCCACACGAAACCTTCCGGGTCTGGGTTGTTTGTCTGGGTTCGAGAACTTGCTGTTTCTAATTGAGTTGTTTATTCTGGTGCTGTTTGCTCTGAACCAATCTCCCTTTCTTGGCTGGAATGAGGAAGTTCACTTTCTCAGGAACATTTTACTGCTTAGCTGCCTCCTTATCGCCACTAATGATCCCATTAACCTCCTAAGAGCTGTTGTGCTGGCTCTGGCATGGACAGGCAGAAGGCATCTCAGGTTGTTTGTGCCTTTTGCACTCTTGTCACCCTCCTGCATGACCCACCTGTTTTCCACCTGCCTCAGCAACTTTTGTCGACAGTATCTCCTGCTTTTCCCTAACACAATCCGACACACTCCATCCCCTTCCCTCTTCTCTCATCCTCTAAGCTTGTCTCTTTGGGGCTGTTCGACCTTGCTTCTACCTGGGAATCTGAAGTCCTTTTGCTACAGCAGTCCCACTCCCACAGCTGTCCCAGCCCTGGGGAGTGTCTGTCCCAAGGATTACACACAAAGCCACCTCACCACGGGTACAAAGCTGTGGCTCCCTGTGTGCTGACCCATGGCAGAATGGGGGCAGATGGCTCCTCACTGGGCTCCAGCTGGGTGGGGGTGACAGAGCAGCCAGCAAGTCTGGCTCCCAGAAGCATGACACCCCTGTGCCACAGCTGGACCCAGCCAGACCAAAGTGTCACAGAGTCATGGAATCCCAGAATGGGCTGCGTTGGAAGAGACCTCTAAAGGTCATCTCCTTCCAGCCTCCTGCTATGGGCAGGGACAACTTCCACTAGACCAGGTTGCTCCAAGCCTCCTCCAACCTGGCCGTGAACACTTCCAGGAATCCAGGGGCAGCCACAGACACTCTGGGCACCCTGTGCCAGGGTCTCACCATCCTCATCATAAAAAACTCCTTTCCTATATCCCGTCTAATTCTGTCCCGCTTGTCCTATTGCAACAGGCCCTGCTGACAGGTTTTTTCCTCCACAGGACTTGACCAGGCTGGGGACACAGCTGCAGCCAACAGGGCACAGGCCATGGCATTATTTTTATTTTTGCCAATGGGAAAACTCATCCTGCAGCATAGGAGGGTGTAGAAAGGACACCTGAGGACTGAGAGAATGAGCCAGCTGCTCTCCTCAGGCATCCCTAGCAGTGCTCAGGGCAGGGAGAGGTGCTGTGCCAAGGGCAGCTGGTGGCGAGGTGTCAGCAGGAGTGCAGTGCACCCTGTGTGCCCAGCACGCTGGGGTGGCTGCGGTCTTGCTGCCAGGTTACTGCCTGCTGTTTGTTTCACTTCCTGATACCAACAAATGTCTGTGGCTGGGTGTCAGGGCAGGGTGCCGGGGATACAGACTGCCAGGGAACACCGAGTATCCATCCCAGCAGCCCTGCCCCGGCCCCTGCCCTGACAGAGAGCCTGGGCACAGGCAGCCCCTGCCCTCTGCAGCCGGTTGGGCTTGCTCCAGCAGGTCCCCATCCCGCTGGGGCTGTGGGGTTGGCAGTGTTCCTGGCAGGGGGGGACAGCCCTGGCACCTGTGATGGGGCCAAAAGCCCTGAGGGGGCTGTGGCTGGCACTGCTGGCTCCTGGCCCAGCCCTAAGCAGAGGGCACAGGCCTGGGCTGGCTCCCCAGTTATGTAAGGGCGGCACGGCACCGGGACAGCACCAGCTGCTCCGCCAGGACTGCCTGTGTTGTTTTGGGATGTGCTGCCACTACCCCACAGGTGCCAGTGCCCGTTGGGCTGGCAGTGCTGGCAGAGGGCACAGGGCAGTGTGCCTGTGGTGGGCAGCCCTGCCAGCAGCTCCTGGCATGCGTGTGTGCTGGGAGCAGCTCCCTTGCCTCTGCCTGGGCCGTGGCCTGCCTGGAACCTCTTACCCAGCTGGGACTGCTTGGAGGCATGCTTGGATCTCAGCCTGACTCGACCTTGGGAAAACCCCCTTCACAGGGAACGTGAACAGAGGGGAAACTGAGGCACGGCAGAAGGGTGGGTGAGCTGTGGGAATGGGCTGGACAAGGACCCTCAGCTCTGGTGCAGCTCCTCTGTGCCCTCCACCCACCCTGCTGCACAGGTTCTTGGCGGATGGGCTCTGCATGCTTGGCTTGTACCTGGTGCATCCTCACACTTGCATCTCGCCCTCTGCAGCTGTCCCAGCTGGGGCGGGGTCCCAGTGCTCATGGAATGCTTGTGCAGGTGTCCTGGGAGGCTGCTGCACACAGAGTCCCAGCACCCTGGCTGCATGTGTAGGCTCCAGCTGGGTCTTGCTCTCACCATGCGCCAACCCCCATGGCACTGAGCTGCGGCTCGCTTGGGGCTGGCGCCACAGCTTGTGCCGCTCTCCAGTGAGAGCCTCCACTGTGCAGCACAGCTTCCCCTTTGAGAGGGCCCAGGCCTGGGCAGCTGTGGGGGGCTGAGCTGGATCCATGGAGGTGGGGGCACCAAGGAAAATCCCACACATGCATCTGTCTGCACAGCTCCCGCAGGGCTGGGCTGGGCTGGGACATGATGTTCGGTTTGAGGAGCAGGGAAGCACACAGTGCTTGAGACACAGGGAGGGATGTTGCATAAGGCCCTTCTGCCTGGCTGGAGTGAAATGTCCCCAGGAGAACACAGTGAAGGAGTGAGAATATGCTGGGCTGGGGATGTCTCCCATATATCCTGGCCCTTGGGCAGACCCTCAAATTCTGCTGCCCTCCCTGTGCTGCTTCAAACCCTCTCCCAGGTGCTGCTCACCCACGCTCGCTGCACTGAGCATCACCCACACAGGCTTCCCACCCTCTGCAGCAGCTTGCACCTCCCAAGCCCTTTTCTCTGTCATTCTCCTGAGCTGAGCCAGCTGGGGTGGACCCAGGGCTGGGCTGGGAGACCCTGGGGGCCAGGGGAGGCCGGGTGCAGAATGTCAGGGGGTGCAGGGTGCTGGGGTGCTCGTTAACCCCTGTAGCACCGGGGGCAGTGGGGAGGTGGGGGCCCTGCCAGGGCTGCCCTGTGCCATTGGCTGGCACTTTGTCACACCACGCCGCAGGACGGGAAAGGCTCTGCCTACCCGTGGGAGGAAGGCTGAGCTCTGAAAAAAGTGGTTGGGAGCGGGTGGCTGCAGTGAGCGGGTGTTGCCACAGCCTGTCCCCGTCTGCCTCTGTGCTCTGCAGGACCCCAAGGCTGTAGGGACGGGACAGAGGACGGGGAGAGGCAGCAAACAGGACTTCCAACACCATCACTGCTCCCCTTGAACACAGGGTGCAATTAAAACAAATGTGGCACGGAGCTGGATTGAGGGTGCAATTAAAACAAATGTGGCACAGAGCTCATTGCTGCAGGCCAAAGCTTCCCCAGCCAAGAGGGGCCAGGATGGCCGGACCATTTCCCACCACCCCCAGCACCCACTATAGTGACCTGGCCAGTGCAAGCACAGCTGGATCCAGCTGCCCTTCCTGGAGCAGCTGTAAAACCCGAGAGGCTGGCAGCACTTGGGGGTCTGCTGTGTGTGTCCCCTACAGGCTGCTGCAGTGCCTGTGTGTGCAAGGGATGTGTATGCACGTGGTAGAGGAGCCTGAACCTGTTTACACACACACAGAGGAAAAGTTATTAGACACACAGGGAAAGTCATCACACACAGGCACTCACAGGGCACATGCGTGTGCCCTTGCACTAGAGCACTTGCAGGGCTGCCTGCACAAGGCTGCTGTGGGGTCACTGTGTTGAGACAGAACAAGGAGGAGAAAACCACCCAATAGTGATTTCAAGCCTGTAGCCTGTGTTTTGCTGTTTACCCAGCGTTTCCAGGGTGCCAACCACCCCCAGCTCTGTGACTCACACAGGGCTGGGACTGAACCTCCCTCAAAACAGCAGAGACACAAAACTGTGTGGAGCTGTGCTGCTGCAGCACAGGGTATGGCCAGCTAGCTGCTCCCCAGCCCCAGGCACTGCTGGCTCAAGGAGGGCTCTGGATGGCCCAGATGTGTCTCTAGAAAGCCCCATGGGAGGATACTGCACCTTGCTCCACACATCCTGCCAGCCTGGGGCTCTGCACAAACACCTCCAGGCTTTAACCTGCAGTAGCCATCAACAGCCCCAGAGATGGAGGGTTTGCACATTTTTTTGCCCTCCCTCACATACCCCATGGGGTGGAATCAAAACCTGGCCGTGCCCTAGAACAGGGTTGGGGGATTCCCCACCTCTGTCCAGCACTGTCCAATCCAGATGACCCATCCTCTTACTCTCGTATTTTGAGATTATATCTAATGTCTTGAGATAGCCCAAAATGAAAAGAAACCCCAACCAAACAAAAAATATCAATGACGGCTGTGAGAACAAAAGCACCAGAAGAAGAGCACAGCTGGGGGTACATACAGCTCCACACAGCCTGACAAGAGCCTCCTTTCTGCTTGTGCCCCAAGTCGGCCCTGTACAGGTGAGACACAGGGAACACAGACCTGCAGGTTCACAACACTTTTCCCTACCACACATCCAGCCCCTGGAAGGGGCTGCCTGCTCACATTTCCAAAAACCCATCTTGGCTCAGCCAGGGCCATCTAAGGGGAACTAAACCCCAGTGCAAAGGTGGGGAGCTGCCAGGTTTTCCCAGCTGGGGAACAGCATCAGCCCAGTATCCTCACCAGTCCCATTCCAGCAATCCCCAGTCCCTTCCCCACTGCCACCACCCTCCCGCCCCTTCCCAGCCACAGACACAGCTTGGGGCATGGGTATATATAAAAAGTAGAGTTTATTGCCATTTCTATCTAGATTTACACAACAGTGTCACCACTTCTGACATCAAAAGCAATGTCCCATCACATCCCAGAGAACGGGCCAGGGACAGAGGGGAGCCCAGGAACACGGGCTGGCTCCTCCACCCCGGTGGGTTAGAGCACAACCTGCCTTGTGGCTCTGCCCAGTGCTCAGTCCAGATCCTCCCAGCGCTGTCGCACGGTTCTGTCAGGCAGGATGCCAGAGAGGAGTGAATCTGCCCCCTCCTTGGTGCCACTCACAATAGCTGGCTGTCCACTGCCAGGTGCTCACCATCCCAGTCTGCCTTCAAATGCCCCAGATGTTGAGATGGGCATGGCTGACCCAGAGCGGGCACCCCACAGCCTCACAGGCACCTCGTGCACATGTTTATACATAGATACAGCTACAGAAGATGCCCAAACTAACAAAACAAGCTTTTTTTTCTTGTAATCTTCACACTGCTGTGCGTTCCGCCACGGTCTACGCTGCAGCTGCCACCCCTGGTGCTGCTCAGTCTGGGTTGGGTTCCAGCAGGCTCCTGGGTGGCTCACGGGACACATCTGCTTTGCTCACTAAACATGGATTTCCCTCCAGTGCCAGGCTTTGCCAGAAAGAGACACCCCCTGCAGAATGCAACCACGGCCTGGGGCCTGGCGTGCGCTCCTTCCAACCGCAGGTTACCGTCATGGTGCCAAAGACTGCCCATGCCTGCTGGGACAGGCACCCCAGATCTCCTCCTGGCACCTGGGGGGCGGCTGGATGGGGAAGGGGGGCCAGCTGCCCCTGTCCTCCTCGCAGAAGAGCATCCTCATGACGGAGATGGCCACTGGCTCTGTGGGCTGGCCAGGGCTGCCCGAGGGGCACGGCGCAGTGCCAGGGTCTGGCAGTCCTTCGTGTGAGATGAAGGTGGAAACGATTTTGCAGGAGATTAAGTAGAAAGAGTTCTGTGGCTCTGCCCACCCCGAGGACAGAGCCACCTTACACCGCAGAGCCCCCGGAGTGCTGAGCCGGGGCAGCCACCCCGGGGCTCTGCTCCTCGGGGCACAGCACCTCTGCCGGGAGCCGCGACTGGAACTTCTCCAGCTGCTCAGGACTGGCCAGGGTCTTCAGGAGGCTGTTCTCACGCTCCAGCTGGGAGTTTTTCTCCAACAGTTCCTTGATTTGCTCTTTCAGGACCTCCACTTCCTCCCGTACGGCATACATTAGATGATTTTTCACAAGATCCTGCAAAAGGCCAAGGAAGAGACCAATTAATGGAGAGTTAATGCTCAGAGGGTTGATCCCTTCTGTTCCCAAGTGCTGGGACAAATGCCAAATGGTGCAGAAGCTTTTCTCAAGGACCATCCCTCCCCACCCCACTGCACTCTCGGAACCCTGGCCAGGGCTTGGTGCTCATCCAGCATAGCTCCCTCAGCCGCCATCTCTTTGGTCTCTCTGCATCCAGAGGCACTTTCCAGCCCCCTCACCTACTCCGGCATTTGGGGGGCTGAAGCTCCCGAGCACCCAGGGAACGGGAACCCGGCTCGGGCAAGCCCAGACCCCGAAAGTTCCCCTGCACGTCCACCCTCGCTGCCGGCGCACTGCGGAGCCGCTGGAGCCAATGAGCTTCGCGGCGGTCGCAGACAAAGAGGAGCTCAGCCTGGCAGCGCCATGGGGAGTGGGGACCCCCGTGGGCAGAGGGACCCCCACCCTGGGCCGAGCACCCCCCCCGGGAGCGGGAAGATCACCCCCGTGCACAGCACCCGCGGGGTGGCGGGCAAGGTGCGGGGAGGAAGGGGCAGAGCTGCAGCTCACCATCGCCTGCTCGATCTTGTTGTCAATGGCCACCACGCTGGCTCCGGAGGCGCTAGAAGAGAGCGAGAGGCCGAGGGTCAGCACCGAAATCCTCCCTTCCCCGGGGGTCCGTGCATCCGCGACACCTCGCCCCCAACCAGCGGATCGGGGCGTCCTCCTCCCCAAGGGAATTCCTTAATTCAGGCACCGGTCGCGTATGTCCTTTGCTCCCGGAGTAGCGATGCCCCCCCACCTCATCCCCGGGGGTCGCAGCAGCACCCTCGGGCACTGGGACGCCCCTTCCCCCAGATCTCCATGGCGAATGGCGGGGACGCAGGGCGCACCGGGGCCGCCCCTACCTGTTGTCGAGCTTCACGGAGACTACATCCCCCCCGAGCAGGGAGGAGAAGAAGGAGATGGAGAAGTTGTGGAGCTGGTAGACAGCCACCTCCATGGGGGACTGGTACATGCCGGTGCTCATAGCTGCGGGCGCAGGGACACACACTCGCACAGACGGAGCAAAACGCACTGCCAGGGCCTCCCCGCCGCCCTCGCTTATACTGGCGGCGCCCGCCCTGCCGGGAGGGGCGAACGCGGCGGAGACCGCCCGCTGCCCGCAGCGCCGCGCCGGGGGCTGCGCCGGTACTGCCCCCTACTGCCCCCGGTGCCGCACACTGCCCCTCAGTCCTGTCCCCTCACCCCGCTACTGCCCCTCAGTACTGCACCTCTCTGCAGCCCCTCCGCCCCTTCCAGTTCAACCACAGCACAGCGCCGTCCCAGCGCAAGGACCCCGCGCTTCAGCACCGTCCCCCAATCTGCACCCCCATTCCACACCTCTCGTCTGTTGCAAGCAGAGTCCTGGGACCCCCGGCACCCCTCGTACAACCCCCCAAGGCCACAAGCCTCAGCATCCCATTCCTGTGCTCCTGGGCACCCAGGACGGGGATTCGGTCGTGGGGACACATGCATCTGCCTGGGGGCCGGGAGAAGGGGTGAACCTGGTCTGCATAGGGAGATGCAGCCTGCAGGTCCCGCACAGTAAGGCCCCGTGACTGTGAAAGAGAGGCAGGAGGGAAAGGGGAGCCATGGGCATTCAAAACAGAACACGGGTGGCAAAATAGAAACGTGAGTGAAAAACAGAAAGGGGCTGCTAAAAACTGTGGTGAATAAGAGAAACAGGTATGTAAAACAAACGGAAACATGAGGGACAAACAAGAGAAACGAGAGCAGAAAAACAACCCAGGCGTAAAAAACAACTCCAGGAGGAAAAATGAAAGCCTGCACGTAGAGAAAACCCGGGATGCAGAACCAACCCAGGGTATACAGAACACGCCCTGAAGTTGCAGAACAACAGCTGCGGAGCGCAGAACAGCCCCCAGATACAGAACAAAGCAGAGGTACAAAACGAACTCGGGGTACAGGGCAAAACAACCCCACGGTGCAGAGCCAAGCCTGTGTGCAGAACAAGAAATCTACGGTGCAACAGATTGACCTTGGTTGCACAACAAATTCGGGCTACAGAACAACACGCCCTGGGTGCAGAACAACAACTAAGGGATGCAGAGCACACCTGGGGTCCAGAACAAAATCGGGCTCCGAAACAAACTCGGGAGCACCAAACACCACCAGCCCCGGGTGTCAGAACAGTCCGGGGTCACAGAACAGCGACCCGGGG